AAAGACACCACAAGAAGACCTACAGAGGAAACTAGCCTAGACCTGTGGGGGCTCACAGAGACTGAACCACCAACCAAAGAGCATGCATGGGCTGGATCTAGACCCCCTATACATGTGTAGCAGATGTGCAGCCTGGTCAACATGTGAGTCTCCTAACAATTAGGAGTAGGGGCTATCTCTGACTCTGTTGCTGCCTTTGGATGTCTTTCTCCTAGCTGGGCTGCCTTGTCAGGCTTCCGTGCAAGAGGATGTGCTTAGTCCTGTTGCAACTTGAGGTTCCAGGGTGGGTTGGTACTGATTGTGGGCCTTCCCCTCTCTAAGAAGAAAGAGAGGGACCAATGAGGAGAGGTTGGCCCACTCAGGTCGATCTTTTCTTGTTCCATCCATTTGCCTGAAAATTGCATGATGTCCTTGTTTTTAATAGGTGGTAGTATTCCACTATGTAAATGTACCATGTTTTTTTCTCTCCATTTTTTCAGTTGAGGGACATCTGGGTTGTTTCCAGATTCTAGTAATTATGAATAAAGCTGCTATGAACATAGTTGAGCAAATGTCCTTGTGGTATGGTGGGGCATCTTTTGGGTATACGCCCAGGAGTGGTATAGCTGGGTCTTGGGTCTTTCTCTTTTAAACACAGAGAACATAGATTTATTAAAGAAAAGAGAGAGGATAATGGAATGGCTCAGCACATAACTCACAAATATTACCAAGTTCAATACCTGAACATATGTGAAGGTGAAAGAACAAGACCAACTCCATAAAATTGCTCTCTTACCTCCACATATATGTTAAGCCTAGTTCTTTTCAAACAAACAAAATGGATAAGTAAGAAACAACTCCCAAGAATGAGAGAGATGCCGAGAGAAGAATACCCCTATTGTGATTTTTGCTTTTTGGGTTTTTTTTTTTTAAAAAGACTGAATGGATTAACAATATCCTCTTGTTATGCCCAGATCGAGAGACCCCCAAAAGACCACCAGGAAGCTGATTCCAATGCAAACACAGAAGTGTATTTTATTGCAAGCTTGAGCTCAGGCCACAGACCATCCTTGTCACATCATGTTAGGAGAGCAGCCCCAAGTCTAGGGGAGCAGAGTTTTTAAAGAGAAAAACCACAAGCAGGGATTTCCAAGCCTTGGCATTACACGATTGGGTAAGAGTTGGGCAAGCAAGGTGGGTAGGTGCCATCTGGCAGAGTTGCTGAGGGAAGTAAGCATATCTACAGTAGACATCTGGTCCAGTTTGGCGGTTACCTGTTTGTACATTTGGTGGTTTATCCTGGAACTGGGTGGGTGGAGGGTCATGTGTTTTTTTTCTTGGAACTGGGTGGGTGGGGGGTCGTTCTTGGGTCAGAAAAAAAAGAATAAAACAGGAAAAGTTATTGTTTGACTACATTTTAGAATGGCAGATATTAGTAAAAGTCAACAAAGTTATGATAAGCAACTGAAGAAGCTTTTTAAAAAAATTCCAGAGTGCAGGGAATCTTATGAAAGAAGTAGGAAACAGTAAGATCTGGAGAGGACAGGAACTCCACAAGGAGAGCAACTGAACCAAAAAATCTGAGCACAGGGGTCTTTCCTGAGACTGATACTCCAACCAAGGACTATGCATGGAGACAACCTAAGACCTCTGCACATATGTAGCCCGTGTCAGTTCAGTATCCAAGTGGGTTCCATTGTAATAGGCAGGAACTGTCTCTGACATGAACTGATTGGCCTGCTCTTTAATTACCTCCCCGTGAGGGGGAAGCAGCATTACCAGGCCACAGAAGAAGACACTGCAGCCACTCCTGCTGAGACCTAATTGACTAGGATCAGAAGGAAAGAAAAGAAGACCTCCCCTATCTGTTGACTTGGGGAGGAGCATTCATGCAGAGGGTGGAGGAAGGGAGGGATTGGGATGGGAGAGAGGAGGGAACTACAGGGGAGATACAAAGTGAATAAAGTGTAATTAATAAATAATTTAAAAAATTCCAACAAATGGCAACTCCTTGAATCCTTGCCTTTTTAATGTGTCTAGCTGTAGGATTGACCTGTAGCCTGAGGAAAGTCTACCAGGAAGGCCAGCATGCCTGGAAAGCTAATGACAATAGGGCCAGACTTCAGCCTTTGAGCTATAGAGTTTTTTTGGACTGAGCACTTAATCCAGGTCTGTCCTTAGATGATCCTGACTGGCTGGGACAGGAAGCCACTCCTTCCCAGAGGAATTATGTTGTAAAAATTAGTAAAATGGAAGTATTTAAAACAATAGACCACCACTCTGTCTCTGTCTCTGTTTCTGTCTCTCCTTTTGCCTGTCTCCTGCCTGTCTCTCTCTGTCTCTGTCTCTTTCTCTCAGCCACTGACAAATGATTCTGCTATAAGCATTGGTTCAGAGTTGTATGATTTTATCACAGCAGCCTGAATCTCTTTAGTATGAACAGTGGCACAGGTGGGTTAAAGTCCATGCTCCGAGGTCCTTCCATCTCCTCTGTGCATATCTAATTTACCACTTTCCCCAGAAATGCTTGAAAATCTGAAAGTCTTCTGCTTTTTCTCTTTCCCCTGATTTATTTATAATTCATAAATTCTTTATTCCAAGGTGTCCCTCTTCAAATCCCAATTTTAAATTCAACAGAAGGCACACTCTCATTTCATGATATTTCATATGTTCTGATGACAGACAACATGTGATTTTAGGAGGCTGAGGTACTATTTTGGGCACTGCTTGAAGTGAAATGGAGCTTAAAGATTTTCCTAAAGCCATTTCACACAGCACATTCTGTAAGCCACTGAAATATAAACCAGAGTTTCTCTCTCACAGGCATGCTATAAGAATGTTTTTACAATAACCTTTTAAGTCCATTTTAAGACATTTCAGCAGACCTGGTGTTCTGATGCCAGGCTTAGGACAATAACAGAAGACTGGGTCCCTGATGTTAATAAGCCATGTCCAGAGGGCACAAGGTAGAACCTGATTAGTAATACTATGTACTCAAAAACTATGTTAGCTGTACAAAGTATAACCTAATAAGTACATAGTGTTTGGTCAAAAACAGCGTTAGCTGTATAAGATATAACCCAATCAGCACATACTGTGTGCTCAGAAACAATGTTAGCTGTACAAAGTAAGAGCCAACATTGTATGGTCAAAAAATGTTAACTATACAGAGTAGAACCTGGGCTTGCAAAGGGTTGCTGGAGGTTACGTTTTGGAGGTGGATTGTAAAAGAAAACAGTGGGTGGAGGATTAGAAGAGGAATAAGCAGAGTATGAGCAAATGGAGATGGGAGGAAGGACAGTTCAAGCCCAGAGGGTACGGAAAGCAGAAGCACATCCTGCTGAAGACAAAGGAATAAGCAGTGAGGCTTTGGAGCCACCTCCCAGTTCTGATACCGAGGGGCATGAGTGTTTCCCTAACAGGGAGGAAGACAGCTGTGATGATTTAAGGGTGTGACAGGCTTTTAGTGTGGGCTTTACTTTGCACATAGAGGGAGTAGTTGCTTAAGTGTATGAAAGTATGTGTCATGGTGAGACCATCTACAACACAGGGCATAGAACAGGTGCTTAATAGATGGCTGTGGTTATTATTTTGGGACAGTTGAGGCATGAGTGACAAGATCATGTTTAGAAGAACTTCCTAAGTATTTCTTTTATTTTAAACTTCTGTTTATTTTCCCATCTACCAATTACTAGCACAGTCCCTAATCAATCTATAAACATTTGTCCCTTTACCCACAGATAAGTATAGTCCTCACCCCTCAAGAAGGAAACGTCTAGTAATGTCAGAAGCTATACCCATAAGTCTTACCAACATGTCTGCCTAAATATGATCTGAACAAGGATGACAGCAGTGAACATGCCAGAATCAATGGGGAAAAGCACATGAGAGTTAAACCCTACACAAAGAAATACAGGCAACTAAGGAAAGCTGGAACAGGTGGTCCTCTCCTAGGAAGAGCACAGCAGTTGGTTGTCCAATGCCAAATGGTCAGCGCTGAATTCATACATGCAAGTAACATTATATAGGCTCAGCAGGTTGTATTTAGGAACAGACACAAATAGATATGTGCATGCAACAATTATGAAAACAGATGACCTGAATTTGAAGGAGAGCAGGGATGGATATAAAAGAAGTTTAGAGGAAGAAAAGGGAAAGATTAAATGTAATTAAATTATATCACAAAATTTAAAAATACAGGAAGCAAGTTTTTTTTTAAAGGCCCATCTATGACTTCCTGTCCTTTATCCTGCTATTTCCTGAAACAGATCCATTCTAGCTTTGAAATGAACCATATTATCTAATCAACAAGCTGAAAAGAACAATCATTGGCATTACATTATGGCTGATTGTTTGCCAGCACACACTCTGCACCAATTAACTAATCTAAGTCCCTCCCAGGTATTGAGAATTCTATATGATAATTGCTTAATAAAAGTGGAGTTATCAGAGAACACATGTAAAAGACAGGTTTTCTCGCCTTGGAGGAAGGAAGAATTTTATAGGTGATGTATGTAAAAACACTGGGTGCTTCAACAGGGACAAGGAGAGGAAAGGGTAGAAGGTATGTTTCCACAAACTGCAAATAAACTAATGCTGGGAGAAGTTAACAATGTCCTTAAGCCCACACAACTGAAAAGTGTTATATCTGCCATTAAAGTCTGGTAGATAAAAATCTGTAAGTTTGTATTTTTAATGATGGGACTAGGTTGTAGGAGTTCAGAATCCAGGCTGTTAGACCTTCTTTCTTTACTCTGTTACCACAGTTATAAAATTCACGTGTTTATAAATATTGAAATGAGGACCTTTCAGATGAAACATGTATTAGCCTCCATGATGAAATTTGTCCCAACACAATATGATCAGCTTAGGGAAGCTGGATATCTGAGTGTATTTGTCTAGTCTCTGCTTCCTTATTCTCTTCAAAGTTGCTGAATATATTGTACCACTCAGTGGAAATTCAAGGCAGTTAGTACTTTATCTGATTTTTTATGTGTTTGTTTTATTTTATTTTTGTGTATGATATTCCTTCTTGTATGTACCAAAGCTCATATTGAACAATGAGTCTAGGTTTCAAGAGAGGATTTATTTTTCATGTGCCTTCCCTGTCTTTGCCAGTTGAACAAAAACACATACAAGTGCTATAATAAATGGTTTTGTTGCAGTATAACCTACCTCTGTTAAAGGTTCAACCATGGCATTTAGTTAATTCACAGTATTATGTAATTATTAACCAATCATTTTCATTCATGTTTTTCAACTTTGTACCAGTTATTTCTATATCAGCACTCACCACTCACCAACCCAACCACTGTAATCACTAACATCCTCTCTCTAGCCATGGACTTGCATATTGTAGAAGTCTTATGTATGAAGTCATGAAGTATATAGTGTTTTGTAATTGTCTCTTTTCCTTTTGCATGGTACTTTCAAAGTTCTAGGAGGTATCTTGTAATAATATCAAAGATTTATTTCTTTCAGTACAGATTCCGTACTCTAGATACCAACCAGTAGTACACATATTTGGGTTATTTTTTATTTCTCTGATATGGATAACGTGGCATTCTTAAAATATTCTTAAAAACTTAAGAATATTTGTGTTCACATATGTTTCCATTTATCTTAGGGATGTCTTTAAGAGGAATTATTGGTTTATTTGATGACTATATTTAAGGTTTTGAAGAAGTTCAAAGGATGCTTTATTATGTCAAATTCCCAACAGCTCATAGATATAACTTACAAGTGTTTTGTCTTGAGTTTTCTTTGCACTTCTCTATCTATAGTTTACTTTTAAGGGCCAGAGTTTTAAATTTTGATAAAGAACAACTTATCTACTTTTCCTAACCTCTTTCTTTCTCTCTTCTTTTTTTTTTCCAAGTTCTATTCTTGATGTATCTAGAAAGATTTTCCTGAAACCTGAAACAATCTTATGGAGGATTAGGGATATAAGCCATGAATTTGGGAAGACATAGTTTAGCATACAACAGTAGGTATCAGTAGTATCTTTGTTGGGTACCAGGATTATAGCAGCTTCTAAAAAGATCTGGACAGTGTTTGCTTTTCTAAATCTGCGGAGAAAATGTGGACTTTTTTTCTTTTAGTTCTGTGCATGTTGAGTCATTCTTTACTTTCCATTTGGAAGAATTTCTCCTTGTTTTTCAATGTGGGCTTTTTCTTTACCCCACGAGGAGTAGGATGGAGTTCACAGAGTAGTTCATGAAGCCCCTTGGATATAATCATCTGGAAACCTTGACCATTGTTTCTTTGATTTTTTTTTTTTTTTTGTCTCTCTCCCTCATTCTGTTCTCTCCTTACCTCTCGCACATGTGTACACTGACACGGTTCATTTCGTGAGGCTCCAGTTAATTTTATTTTAAAAACTTATCTCCCTTTTTTGACTCTTTTATTCCTGAGTACTGTCAGTCCTCTCGTCCCTCTTACTCCAACACATAACAAAAATAACATTTAAAAAGCCATTGCATTAAAATATCAGGGCTGTATCCAGGTACTTCTAGCTCATTCCTAAAAAGAATCATCTTTTTCTGATTTCTCTGAAAGCGCATTTGTGCAGATTTCAAAAATGCTATATGATAGTTGTGTTCAATACTGCTGACAATCGAGTACCCAGAGGACCTAGACATTTCTCTCATTGTTAGTTTCTTAGTTTTATAACTAGATTTAAAATTGCATATTATAGCTAATATTCTACCTGATATATTTCTAAGTGTTGAAATAATATTTATTTTGCTTTTAATGAAGTTGCAAATTAAAATATGTCCTTTTATTCGATTGTGCCTTTTTGTTATGACTGCTTGTTTACCTTAAACTTCTATCTTATTCAAAATTAATGTTTAAAAGATACAAGTTTTGTCATTAAGTTTATAAACATGGGTATGTGTGTTTATGTGCATTATTCAGCATAATTTGAATAAACAGAAAATCTAGTATTTTTCACTTTTTAAAAATTTTATTTATATTTTTATAAATTACAGTTTATTTACTTTGTAGTCCCTCTGTGGCCTCCTCCCTCTTCCCCTCCCAACTCCACCCAACCTCCCTCATCTCCTCTGTTACCTTCACGCCCTTAGGCTAAACTGTGTTCTTAGTTACTTAATTATGGATATGGATACAGTGATTCTGTGTCACATATGAATGTTATGTCAGATACAGAGCGAGTTAAAAAAATCAGATCTGGTTCATGACGGCCAATAGTTTTGATATGGTCCAGGAGTTACTTTCTTCCAGGCTTTTCCCAGGTTTTCCTCTACCTTGAAGACTGTTGTCCTACCCCTCTGTTCAGCCCCATCTATACCAGATGCTAGGAATGACCATGGCTTACATGTTTAATAAATAGCATGTGGCCCCAGATGCACAAATGTGATTCTTGACCTATAGAGGCTTTGTGTGACTGAGGATATCTGAAAAGAGGCTGTATCTGCGAGAGAGTGATTTGCTATAAGAACCGCGGTTCGGTGAAGAGCTTGCAATGTTGCAGGTCCAGAGGTTAATTACCTCATCTTGGGCTAGTTTTAGCTCTCCAAAACAGGCATTCCTTGCCTGCTTGGTCTGAACTAACATATTACTAACAGATAGAAACCTTTGAGACTCTATTAACTTAGTTGATTGATCATTAGCTTCCGCTAACTCAAAAGCTAAGAATGTCATTAGATAGCATCTGAGCCTAGCGAAAAGCCTCTCCCGTCTTGCTATAAGCACCTTTCCGATGTATCCACCCGTCCATTTTAAACTCTCCTCGATTTATGATTTTCTTTGTTCTGTAAAATTATAAAACTTCATGAAACTGCTTCCATGTTGGAACACAGAATTTTGAGTAACCTAAGTCTGTGTTCCTGGGTCATGGTCACTCAGAATCATTCCAGAGTAAACTATCACTTATTCCATGTAAGATGAAAGCTGAGGTTTTTGTTTGGATATCCTTAGTAAGAATGGGGTGAGAGGAGGGTCTGTAGGTCCAGACTAAGGGTCTGCAAAGCTGGGAGTGGCTTTTACTTTGAGTGCAGTCAGAGAAGAGACCCCTGGCCTCTCCCAACTCTTCTCCCCTACAACAGACCCGCTGCAGTTGGAGTGGGGATGGACCTGTGGGAAATGGTGTGGTGCTGACAGTCTGCCCCTCCTCGTACTGTGTCCCTCTCAACTAGGGACTGGGAGCTGAAGGATCTAAACACACTCTTGGCTACATAATTCTAGAGTAGAATTATCACCATCCCAAGCTAGGGTTAAGGAGGGAGGGAGTGTCTTGTTCTTCTTCTGGCTTATTTACTTTTGATCTTTATGGTCCTATTCCAGAAATCATCTACTAAAGGATTTAATCTTAATAATTCTTAAGCTTATTTGAACTAGACACTTAAAACAGTAACTTGTTATGTGGTTAATAATGTTTTTTAAACAAATTAGTGAACACAAAATGTCAACTTGTACAATCTAGGGTTAAAGAAGTTTCCAAATGAGAATATGCCAAAAAAGTAACAAGGAGAGAGACATTTTGAAATATTAATTGATTATCACTGGGAAAAAAGAAACCATATTCCTCATAAACTGTAGAATTTTTGTATGAAGACTATTAGTCTTCATGACCAAGACATGCTTCATGACAATTTATCTGGTTTGAAGATACAGTACTGTAAATGCTCCTTAAATTAATTTATTGTGGATGACAATTGGCTTGGAAGCTTCACATTCAGAACTAGACCCTTAAGGGTAAATGGCTACTTAATGCTAACATTCTGAGAATTCTGCTTCCCTGGGGCATGCTTGAGAAAGACACTGGGGATTTGATTAGCATAAGTGAAAGTGCTCAGTTGTATTGCTCTAAGCAATTGGGGGTGATAAGTGCCTAGAGGAAAGTAGGGAGAAAGGACTTTTTTTTCTGAACAATAGTGTAAGTCTAACAGGCAAGAAAATTACCTTCAAATGGCAACATGTTCAAAGGTTCAACTGGGGCTATGACTAAAGAGCTGAACAGTGCTATACGGTATAAATTTTGGTTTGATTGGAAGAACATGCTCCAAGAACTTAAAAAAAAATGGATTTTTGAAAAGAGCGAGGATGGAGAAGGGAGGTAGGAAGGGAAGAGGAAAAAGAGAGGAAGAGGAGGAGTGGGGGGTGTTCTGATTCTGATACATTGTAATATTTCTTCCTTCCTTTCTTTTTATTTCTTACCTTTGTATGGAAATCAAAAGACTGGTGAAGGTGAGAAGTAAGAAATATGGTCAAATCCCAAAGCTTTTTTGTTGTTGTTGTTGTTGTTGAACTCATGGCATTAGAAATAAAAAAAGTGGAATGTATTCTAGAGTGGCACATGGAATTGGAAGAAATGGTCTTTATATTGCGATTCATTATAGCTATGTAGTTTTGTAGCCTGTGAATCAGTGGTTTAGGAAAGTGTGTTATTTCCCAAAGAAAATGCTAAATGATGTTAACTGGTGAACATAAAGAACAGGACAATGAAGAAGAGCTTCAAAGACACAAACAGAAAGTTAATTTCAGCAGTTAAAGGGAAACTTTAGTGGATAAAGAATAATCCAATTGAGTCACCACAGAGAAACACTAGCAAAGAAGGGTCCTGAAGAACTGATCTTTTCAAATGATAGCTGGAAGAATTCCCCAGCCCACAACTCCTATCTTTACAGCCCCTTCCCTTGATGCTGTGTATCTTAAGAAAAAGGTAGATCAAAGACATAGTTTTCTAATGGTATTATTTGTTTTGAAATATGGCGTAAATGTAAAGAGAGGATGGAGATGAATAGCTAGACAGACAGACAGACAGATTGATTGATTGACAATAAACATTGCTGGAGACTGAATCCAGGACCTTGTACAGCCAACTAACATCATACTTACCCATGAAATTTTTTTCCTATGGAATTCATGTGCTTTCTTTACATTCCTTCAATCCATTCATTTTTCAAGAACTTTGTGCTTAACACAGAGGGCCTCTGAAAGACTCTGCCTTGCAGGGTATCAGAGTAGATGCTGAGTCTTATAGCCAAACTTTGGGCGGAGTGCAGGGAATCTTATGAAAGAAGGGGGAGATAGCAAGATCTGGAGAGGACAGTTGATCTACAAGGAGAGCAACAGAACCAAAATATCTGTGCACAGGGGTCTTTTCTGAGACTGATACTC